ATGTGAGTGAGTGTGTGATGTGATGTGATGTGATGTGATGTCATGTGAGTGTGTGTGAGTGATGTGATGTGTGCGTGCGGTGGGATGTGTGTGTGTTGTGTGTGTATGTGATGTGATGTGATGTGGTGTGTGTGTGTGTGTGTGTGTGTGTGTGAGTGACATACTGTGAAAGCAGGTTTGTGAGCTGCTGGGTAATGGCTCTCTGAGTCTGATCAAACAGCATCTGCAAGAAAACACATCATTTTTAATACACAAATGTGACCCTGGAGCACAAAAGCAGTCATAAGTAGCACAGGTATATTTGTAGCAATAGCCAACAAAACATTGTATGGGTCAAAATCATCCATTTTTCTTTTATGCCAAAAATCATTAGGATATTAAGTAAAGATCATGTTCCATGAAGATATTCTGTAAATTTCCTACTGTAAATATATCTAAACTTTATTTTTTGCTAAGAACTTCATTTGGACAACTTTAAAGGCGATTTTCTCAGTATTTAGATTTTTTTTGCACCCTCAGATTCCAGATTTTCAAATAGTTGTGTCTCGGCCAAATATTGTCCTATCCTAACAAACCATACATCAATGGAAAGCTGATTTATTCACATGATGTATAAATCTCAATTTTAAAAAATTGGCCCTTATGATTAGTTTTATGGTCCAGGGTCACAAATACATTTTTTGGCATTGCACAGTCACAAAGAGAGCGATGCATCTAGCACACACTCACCGTCTGAAACTGGATCATTTCCTGCAGGCCCTGGTTGAACTGACGCAGGCAATTCTACAGAAACACACACAATCAGAGGTCAACATGAGCGGTCCGATCAGAGCGCTCGACCCATCAGACATCAGCGCTCACCAGAATAACACCGTCGCTCTTGTGATACGCTGTAAACTCAGCCAGGCCGGACAGAAAGAGCTGATTGCAGGAGGTGTAGTTCTGACCCGCCTCCACCATCTGACCACACAGCTTCATCACCTGCAGACAGACAGAGCACAGACGAACAGTGTGCTGGGATCATGAGAAAATCATTTTACTTTCAACTTTACACACGAGACAGTTGGATGTAACTTTCAGAACTCAAAACATCAACACATGATAATCTGTGGAAATGGTCATGACAAAAAACAATACACAAAATATAATATAAAACATGACTATGATAATATATAATACTTATAAAAATCAAAAGAAGAATACTGCGTGAAGAACAACTATAATAAAATCTAAGAAAAATATAAACTAAAATATAAAATATGATGTAATATATGTATGTAATACATATATATATATATATATATATATATATGATCATACTCACCCACTAAAAAGGCGATTCCAGAGAAGCCTCTAGTCTGGACCATCAGTAAGGTGGTTGCTATGAAGTCATAGAACCA